TACTTCATGCGGTTTCGTTGACTGTCATTGATTGCAAGCCCCACGATGTAACAACACTCATTCCACCTCGACCCTCTGTTCTCAGTTTCCCCCTTCTTGCCTTCTGAACTTTGGTTTTAACTTGGGAAAAATAAAAGAAATCAGACAGCTAGCTAAAGGACCCTGCTGGAAGCAAGGCTACTGACCAAGGTCCCACGAAGGAAGCCTAAGTCAGTCCAAAAGTTGCCAGGTGGCAGAGATCAAAAGTTCCTGACAACTGAGAGGCTCTCTAATTCCTAGAGGTGCGATCTTTCCTTGTGAATCTCACAGGTGCTGAGAAAGTCAAACTACCAAACATGGAATTACAAAGCGCAGCAAGCCTCATGGCAGGGGATGGTCAAGGCTCCATAGACCCTTGCGGAAGGGTCGAAGGGGGAACTCAAGGAGAGGCTAGGGGGAGGGGTACTGCCTCCAGGAAGAGGTTCCACTTGAGCCTTGAAGGAGTGGGAGCCAACCTCGAGAAGTGCTGAGGAGAACAGCGTGCCTGGTGCAGGGAACATTTAGAATGAGGAGAGGGAGAAGAGGTCTTAGAAGCAAACGGATTCCAGGCAGCCTTGGATTAGGAATGGGTTCTGGTCCTAAGTCTGTCTTTAAATCAAATTTAAATCAAATTAAATCTGTCTTTAAATCAAATTTAATTCAAATTGTCAGAACAGTTAGGCATAGTTTATAGGCCATTTAGTCAAATGCTTGCCTTTGTGTATAGTACCTTTCTATGCATAAAAAGCCATTAGAGAAACACTTCCAGATACATTAATAATAGTTAACATAATAACATAGTACTAAATGATAATGATTCGATGTGTTTGCAAAGTATCACCTGTTTGTTCATATGAACCATTCTATGGACCTCGAACTTTTCATGTGACAGGCGTTGCAGGCCCTGGTGTGGAAGGATGAGTTGTGGGGAGGCGTAACCCTGGGGTTGCCTGTGCAAGGTTAAGAGAGAGCAGTCCCGGAAGGGGCTTCGGGCACAGGCCTCTCCTCCAGCGTGCTTAATGAGGCTTCTTTGTACATGCGTGCCCCCCTCAAGGCCTGCTTTATAAGGTCTCACATCCCCTCCACCCATACTCCCTCTGAGCTCATACACACACCCCAGTGCCAGTCCTTGAGCAATGGTTTCACCTCTGTGCAGTGGGACTAATCCCGCCCCTCCCACCACACCGCACCCACTGGAGTGGGTGTGATTCGGACTGATGGCAGCCCAAGGGCACAGAGCGCAAATGCTCCTTGGGGCTTCTGGGGATTCCAGCCACCCCTCTTTGGTTAGCTCCTTGGTTAGGGCTCCTCCTGTGGTCATAGCACCACAGGGGGTTGTAAGGAAACAGTGGCTCCCAAGCACAATTCCTGGCACATGGTAAGATCTTATTAAAGAAAAGCACCAGTGCTACATGATTGGTCCACAACTTGGTGATTATTAAAAATAGATGAGAGGCATGTTGCCTGTCACACTTGTCTATTTATTTTTATGTCATTTGAAATGTATGTAGAATTTCATTTTTAAAACTACCGCTTGAATTATTTGCTGCACATTTGCTACAATTGATGCTGATTCATCTTCCTTTGGGGAGGGTGCCCTTCATTAAGAGGAACTGATTTGGGATAATAACTAAAAAACAAATACATCCCCCCTAAAAACCCTCCTTCTCCCTATGGCAGGTTTGTCCTCCGGCTGCTCAGTGGCCCCTGCAGAGAGCCCGGCCCATCCCGATATCAATGTTGACTTCAGCGTCAACATCAGACACTCCAAAAGTGGCCTACGAAGGAACTGTTGAAACTTGTGTTTTATTTAGTTTTAAGTTAAACAGAAAAGGAAAAGGAAAAAAAAAACCCCAAGCATAACCAATACTTGAAATATTGATTGAAGTTACACACCCCAAGAATTAAAGTGCACAGGGCTACCTATCACTTGTAGAAGAATGTGCTCATTTAGTAATTTGTTTGATTTTGGCCCGAGATTTCATCAAAAAACAAAAAGAGACAAGTGAACCCACTGCCATTAAGTTTATTCCAACTCATCATGACCCTATGGGACAGAGTCGGACAGTCCTTGGGGTGGAAAGCTTGCAAATCTTTATGGAAGTCAATTGCCAAATCTTTCAGCAGTGGAGCACCAGGTAAGGGTTTAATTACAGTACCACCCGCCCCAGGGAGGAGAGGGGCCAGTTCTTTCCTCTTTTATTCAGTAAGGCTTTATCTCCAGACTGTTGGTTAACCAGGACATAGATAAACATGCAGATAAATAGAAAAATTGGGAAAGTGTTTAAGTATGTTATAGTATACATAAATCATTCACAAGGAAGATAGCTGTGCTGGGTATGAGTGCTCACAGATCGTATCAGCTGGGACTGCAGGATGGGGGAGTTGAGAGTCGTTGGAGCCTGAGGGGTGGTGGGCCTGGAGCTTCATCTTGGGTATCCCAGGAAGCCATGTGCTCATAGAGCTAGGAGAGGAATATAACAGGAGGCACAACCTCCCTCCAAGCTGCCAGGCCAGGTGTGGGCATCAGTCAGAGATGCCCATCTCTGGGAATGTGAAAAGGGTCCTGACCACAATAGGGGGAGCCAGTGCTCACTGTAGCTAACCCCCTGTACCTTCAGCTTGCCTCCGGCCCACTTCCAAGAGGGAGAAGGGAGATCGCTATAGGAAAAGTCAGCCAATGGGCCTAAGGATGTGCTGATCAAGATGAAAGCAGTGCTTTTTCATTACAATTGATAGTGGTTCCTTACTCCCCTAGAGATGAGCAGGACAAGTGTCAGGGGCAAAGGACTTTGGTATTCCTGGCCCACCTCTAGACTAGAGGCAGTGGAGGGAAACTGGTGTCCCCACGTTTGTCAGGGAGTCCTCCAACTTCAGTGGGAGTGGGCGCGGGGAGGGAGGGTCTCCCTGGGACCTGGGGAGGGAGGGTCTCCCTGGGACCTAGGGAGTGTGCCCTGGCAGAGAGAGATTGCTCTTGATGTAGCAAGCTTCTGCCACTGGCCCAGCCTCCCACAATCAGCTCATCAATCTATCATCCTGTTAGCAACTGACACCTCTGGCAGTAGCCGGGCATTCGAATTGCAGGAAGCCTGGTGCACCAGGGAATACAGATGGAGGAATCTCAGATTCAAATTTGTCTAAGTATCGTGAACAGCCAGACCCGTGCAAGGCGGCTCCACTGCCCTTCTGCCAAAGGGGAGTGACGGGGTTTTGTTAGAAGTACAAATTGCTTCTTAATGCAGAGGATAAAGCTGGGCTCGGGCACCTCCTTAGAAATTCCTCCCACTCCCAGGAAAGCCACCACTGCATGTCAATTTTAATTTTTGAAATTTAAACCAAGGGCTTTGTCTCTAAGCTTCATCTCATCGGAGAAAGGGGAGGGATAAGTCAAAAAGGATTAGGATCTCGCTGGGGATTGCAGATCCATAGCAATTAGACTTCATTTGGGTCTCAGATATTTGGTTTTAATCGCATTTCTGGATGATACAATCAACAAGCATCAGATATCGGGCCCTATTCTGATGGGCCCCCTTTCCTTGGTCCAGCTGGGTTTGCAATCGGCAATCAGCATGGGAGGTGGAGAATCGGTTTGGGCCTGGAATGGGGAGAGGTGTGTATGTGTGTGTGTGTGTGTGTGTGTGTGACTCCCTTTGAACACTTTACCCTGGGACTCAAAAAGGAAGCAATCATTGTTCATATTCAAGTGAATGGCAACAAAACATTATTCAAATAAATAAGAGCATAAAGAGGAGTAGCCACAGGCCTACAGGCAGGGGGTGTAATTGTCTTTTAAATGGGAAGCACAGTTTTCCCTCCAGGAAGCAAAGTCAACCAGAATGCGATTTGGGGGCAGCTGGAAGACAGGAGCATTGTCACATACCAATCTCACAGAGACCGATGCATGCACATGTACGTGTGCATGTGTATAACATAAGGTGTGTGTGGATATATGTACTTGTATCCCCACTCCGCACAGATACTAACTCGTGTGCATACTCTAAGGTTGTCTCTGACATGCACACTCACACCCATTTCTTTACAAATGACTAAAGGAGCTCAGTATTGATTCACTCACTTGCCATCCATCCAGTCGGTGCAGACTCACACCGACCCTCCAGGACAGGGAGAACTAACCGTCCCAGTGCGAACTAACCGTCCCAGTGCGTTTCTGAGACTGTAGCTGTTTACCGGAGTAGAAAGCCCGGTCTTTCTTCCGCCAGTAAGCACGAGCAGGTTGTTATTTTGGAGATAAGTACTGCTGTGGGAGCTAGATGATTTCACAACAAAGAGAAACCCAAAACCGAGTGAGAGGCGCTATCCTAACTTGTGGATGACAAACAGACCTGGAGGGAGGAGCACAAAAAAGCACGTTCAGGTTCAGAGCAGAACCCCACACCCTGTGGAAGGGAAGCGGAGGCCAGAGAAGAGGGTGTCCTTCCCTGAGCAAGGCTGGATCAAGAGAGCCAGGGGATCACAGGCTTTAGAGAGATTGGGGGGGTGGGGGGGAGTGGGTATGTGCTGAGCACCGGGTGTCTCCATGGTGTATGTTTGCAGGATTTCTGCACTTCCTTTGACGGGAGTCCTTACTGCCTCCAACCCCTCCTGCCACCTACCTTGGCATCCTGCCTCCCACCCCTCCTGCCACCTGCCTTGGCACCCCACTCTGCAGAGGGCTCCTTCCACCTCCTTCCCTAGAAACTGCTCCCCTCTGTTATCCACCCACAACTGAGGCCCAAGAGTTGTCCCCAGTCATGCTCTACTACCCTGCCATGACCCTTCACAGTACCCTGGGCACCAGCCGCTGCCTACAGGAAGGAGCGGCTCTTCTAAGAGCCGGAGGCTGGTTCCCCACAAGGCCTAGCTCTTCATCCATCCCAGGTAGGGGGAGGCTATTCGGAACTCAATGAGGGTATTTTTGCCAAGGTGGACAACTGGTGGTGTCCTGCTCCACAGGCCACACTGACAGAAACTTCGAAGCCCAGGTTTAAAAACATCATTTAATGTGGCGTGGCACAGCGCAGTGGGGCTGAGTGCAGGGTGGCGAGGTGAATTTTCCTTTGCTTTGATTCAGATGCGGGTGGCTTTTTTTTTTTTTTGGCAGATGGACAAGAAATTCGCACAAGTATTTCGGGTCACAAAGGACCCCCTCAAGGAGCCCCTTTCTCTTGGCCAACCTCCCTTTCCAGGCCCAGGGGCCTAAAGAGGACCTACAGAGGGCAGGTGGCCCGGGAGGTGGCCTGTCCAGTCTAATCACGTCTAAAAGTTTTTGTCCTCGGACAGGGATGTAGTAGGTTTCCGCCCAGCTCGCCTTTTGCGTGCTTGCGTTTCTCTCCCCGGCTTGGGGACTGGGCAGGGTGGGGACCAGGGGCACAGCTCAAAGTGCGGTGAGTCGCAGGTACATGAAGTCCAGGAGGGCGGGAGGAACGGGGGCAGGAGGGATGTGTCTTTTCTACCGGAGCTGTCAGCAGCTGCGAATAGCCGTGGCCAGGAAGCCGAGCGCCCCTGCCACCGCCGCGCGCTCGCGGAGCCGAGTCTCTAGTCCGGGTACAGAAGAAAGCCCGAGAACGTGCTGTACTTGTTGTTGTTGCCCCCGTGAGCCTTCCCGCCGTCCAGCTTCACGTACACCTCGTCTCCAGAGTCGAGGTGCAGGACCACGCTGTTGCTGGCGTAGTCGTAGTTCTGGTCCGCGTCCTGAGCGATGGCGCTGGCCCGTACCTAGGAGCGAATCGCGGGAGCAGGTGGGCAGAGGCCCCTTGGCCTAAACGCTTCCCAGCTCCCACCTGGCGCGCCCGGACTTGCCTTGTGCCCCTGCCTCCAGGCTGGACGCCCCCACCTGGCTTCATGCCCCTCTCCAGCTTGGCCAAGCCTACCCAGATCCCTCTGTTCCACAGCCGGTGAAGCCCAGGGCAGGGGAAGGGTAAGTTCTCATGCACAGACCGACCCAGCCCGGCAGCCAAAGGCGGGAACCGGGGTACCGAGGAAAGGAGGCTAGAAGGGGCTCAGTGGGGACATGAGAGTGGAGTCTCCCAACTACTAATTGAGGGGTTGCCGGGAAGCCCAGGAGAGCAGTTTGGATGGCAGGGAACCTGCTCTCCAGGTCCAGCCTCCCTCTGGCGCTCCGCTGTCTGGAGCGCGGCCGCGGGGCGCACTGGCCGCGGGGCTGCTGGGGCTCCGACCAGCGCTCTGCCTGCCGGGCCTCGGAATGCTCCAGGGTAGGGAGAAAGGAGACTGGTTCTCGGGACCAAGGTCAGGGCCAAGGGGGGTTAGGGGGGTCCTCGGGAGCGGGAGCGGGAGGGTCTACGGGGTCGGGGCAGGATGGGGGGCCACTGACCTGCCCGTTCTTGCAGAGGTCTGCCCACATGCTGGTGCCATCGCCGCCGCGCATGAGGATGTGGTAGGTGAAGAAGTAGATGCCCCGCACCTGGCAGCTGAACTTGCCTGTTGTGGGGTCGTAGTGATTGCCCAGGTTGGTGACCACGTCGTCGAACTTCAACACCTCGTAGCCTTCGTGGGGGCTCTTGAGACCCACGTAGAAGGCGATCTTGGGGCCGCTGAAGGCGGCACTCAACGCGCTGGTCACCTCGCTCTCCGCGTCGCCTGCGCCCCCGGTTCCGCCGCCCGCCTCCCCGACGCCGCCCGCCGTGCCGGCAGTCAGCTGCAGCCCAGGCAGCCCCGGACGCCCCGAGTCCCCCTTCTCCCCTGGGGGGCCCCTGGGCCCTGGCGGCCCAGGCTCGCCAGGGGGTCCCCGCGATCCGGGTTTGCCCGGTCGTCCCGGGTCGCCCTTGGGTCCCTGGATGAAAGGGGGTGGAGGGTTGGCGCTGAGGTCCTGCATGACTTCCAGGGCGGCAGTGCTGGGTCCGGGCGGCGGGGCCTTGGCGCCCGCGGGCCCCCCGCCGGGTGCGACCGTGTAGGGGTCGCAGATCATGCGGCAGGTGCCCATCATCTCAT